TCTTAAAAAAAAAAAAAAGAACCCAGTTGAAAATAAAAAATTCTAGAGACATGGTAATCTAATAACCCTTCTTTAAAAAATATTTATTTTTTAGTTGTAGTTGAACACAATGCCTTTATTTATTTTTACGTGGTACTGAGGATCGAACCAAGGGTCTTGCACATGCGCTCTACCGCTGAGTGACAACCCCAGCTCCCCCCATTTTTTTTTTTTTAAATTTATTTTTAAGCTTTAGGTGGACACAATCTTTACTTTATTTGTATGTGGTGCTGAGAATCGAACCCAGTGCCTCATGCATGCTAGGCGAGCACGCTACCACTTGAGCCACATACCCAGTCCCAGCTCCTCCCATTTTTAAAAAATAGTTTTTAGTTGTAGATGTACACGATACCTTTATTTCATTTACTTAAAAAATATCTTTATTTTTTACTTTTATGTGGTGCTGAGGGTCAAACCCAGGGTCTCACACGTGCTAGGCGAGTGCTCTACCACTGAGCCACAATCCCAGCCCCATACTTTTTTATTTTATGTGGTGCTAAAATCAAACTCACTGCCTCACTCATGCTTGGCGCACGTTCTACCACTAAGCCACAACCTCAGCCCATAATAACCTTTTTAAAAGTACAACATCCAATAGCCAAGCAGAAATACACTGCTAACAATGAACAGTGGTACATGTAAGCAGTCAACAGAATATAACATAACTACTGGTAAATCTCAATCAATATATGAAAGCAAGTGCTAGTACATATTGTGTCCAAAAAAGCCTTAATTGAATAAAGCAGTTTTAAATAGTAAATTAGTAACTAAAAATTAATAATTCTTTGTGAAGTGGTTCAAGAATTTTAGACCTATAAAGCTCTAATACATCTGTTACAGTTCAAAACACTAACCTCAAGCAACTTAAGACCCTGCCTCTAAATAAAATGTAAAAAGGGGCTGGGTATGTTGCTCAGTGCTTCAGCATCCCTGCATCCAATCCCAAGTACAAAAACAAAACAAAAAAACTCTAGTCCCGTTAACAAATGAGGACACTGAGGCACAGAATGAGCAATTTGCTCAGGGTTATATAGCTAGCAATTAGTAGTTCTGTAGTTTAAATGCAAGCAGCCTGGTTCTAGAGACCATGCTCTGAACTACTACACCATACYGCCACTGAATTGCCCATGGACATGGACCTCTCTGCTGAATAGTTTCCAGGATAAGTAGTTATATTGATGAGACAATGATGAGAAATCATGAGTGTATCATGTATTCTGATGCTTAAAGTTTTTCACTTGAATTTATGTAATCTGGCTGATTGTTAAATATATTGAAATGACTTGATTACTGATTTTCAAAATATTCATCTAGTTGAAACTTTTCAGTCTAATTTCTAATGAAATTTTAAGCTTAAAACTTAATCTAATATTAATAACAAGCAGTTTTTAAGTCTTACTTAAAAATAAGCCCACATAAAAATGTTATTTATGTTTAGCATGTTCAAAAGAAAGCTGCAGAATGGAAAATCAAGATAGATATCATTGCAGGTAAGATGAATCTTAACCCTTAAGCCAACATGCAATAACCTAACCAAAATTTTTATTCAGGTGCTAAGGAAATATACTATAGAATGTTTTTCTGTGTGGAAAAATATGAATGATTGGTAATTGATTTTGTCTGTCACAGTTTATCCATTTTACTGAAAATTTCTATTAGACCTCAGGTAATTTGTAACTCCAGGCCCAGACAGACTATATCATCCAGTGGGTAAAAACATGGGCTTGGAGTTGATAAAACCAATTTTTGAAATCCACTTGTGGAAATTGCCACCAGGTTGTTTCCTAGTTAACTTTTTTTTTTTTTTTTTTAATTTTCTAATTACATAGAGTAAGATAACATTGACCTTTTTCTTTCTGGTGGGAGATAGATTACAAACATCTATACCATGAGCTCATGCTTCTTTTTTTGGCAATATTTGGCAATACTGGGGCTTGAACCCAGTACCACAGAGCTACATCTCCAGCCCTTTTTGAGAAAAGTTGCCAAGGAGGTTGGCTCAGCTGTTTTGATAACATTTTTCACTACATTGGGTGCAATGGTAGAGTTCTTGCCCAGCATCTGCAGAGCCCTTAGTTGGCTCCCCAGCACAAAATAAAAGTTCAGTGAAACATGTTTTTTCCCTAATAATAAACTTACCATGAATTGGTCCTGTGGTATTAAAATATCTAACTAGGTATGTTACTGTTTATAATTAGTAATGAAATAATTAAAAGATCAGTCTTCCTACTATATTCGGTATTATTGTCCCTCATGAAGTTTTAAGGTATTACAATATAGAGCATTTTTGAAATAGTAACATATATATACTTTTTTAGTTGTAGGTGGACACAATATATTTATTTTTATGTGGTGCTGAGGATCAAACCCAGTGCCTCACACATGTGAGGCAGGTGCTCTACCCCAGCCCCTATGCCACAGTATTTTAATATGCCAGAGCCTTACTGCTCCACACCTGGTGTTCAGACCGTCAGCACTGACATCCCTGAAAGCTAAAGAAAATTTCAGGATCCACTGAGTTATAATCTGCATTTTAATGAGATCCCCAAGTGCTTTGACTGCACATTAAAACTCAAAAGAGCCGATTCTAGGGTTAAAATATGTGTTGGAAAATATGAAGGATAGGTAACTGATTCCCATCCTTCTAAAACAGATCAGTAGTAAGAGTACAGTTTAAATTATTTAGAATATGAAAAATATGAGTACTTTAGAAATTAGTAGAAAAATATCTGCCAYTACTAAAATCTAGACAAGAAAACTTTGAATTAAGCATCATCATTATGAGATGACTTAAGTCATCTATAGATTTTTTTAAAAATATTTTTTAGGTGTAGATGGACACAACACAGTGCCTTTATTTTTATGTGGTGCTGAGGATTGAACCCGGGTCCTGCTTGTGCTAGGCGAGCGATTCTACTGCTGAGCCACAATCCTAGCCCGCCCCAGTCATCTATAGATTACCATGAAACTATATTTATTTTCCACTTGTTATTTCTTTAACCTTTCCCCTTTAACATGAAATTGTGGTACAAATGGGTTACAACACCAGAAATGCCTTGGCCAGTTTGCCATGTCACTCTTGGGGAAACATCAATTCAGTACATGGAGAAGTTAAAGTAACATGTCATTAGGCTTACCAGCATTTCGAACTTTCTTAGTTTTACTTATAGTTAAGGGTGGTAAATGTTTGGAAATGACATGTTTATCTTTACCTGTTGTTTTTTAGAACTTCGATATGACCTGCCAGCACTATACAACTTTCATAAAAAGAAATCAGTAAGTCTCTTGATTCAGTCCTATCTACATACAGTATTGAAAAGCTTTGAAGGGCTGGGAGTATAGCTCAATGGCTCAATCAGATAGAGTGAATGCCTAGCATGCATGAGGTCCCGGCTTTGATCCCCAGCACTGCAAGAAGGAAAGATGATGGCTAGAAAGACCAACAGAGTGAAGGGAAAAACCTTTGCAGTAAGTAATTGTTTGCACCGTTATATAAGTTGCCTGGGTAAATACAGAAAGCCAGCCTAAGAAATAAATTAACTGTGGGAAGGGCCCATAACCAACAGCCAATACTCAAATTTCTTTAAGTTCTTTCTCAAACATTTTGTGGATACAAAAAGGAAAAATAACAAGTTTTTGTTCTTTTTTATATAGCATATATTTTATTAGTTTGTACTAATACATTTTCATATTACAAAAGCAATTGAGTGGAAGAATCTTCCATTTGATATTTGAATCCTCTGAACACAAACAGAACTATACATTTAAAAAAAAAACAAAAACAAAAAAAACCTCACTTTGATAACAAAAAAAAAAAAGACAAGTTGAACAACAAAAAATTTTTTCTTTTTACAGGTGGACATTGAAGTGGACCTAATTCGGTTTTCTTTTTAAAAGCCTCCAAAGACAAAAAGCAGCTTAAAACCTAACTACAATGAATTAAAAAAAAAAAAAAAATGTATTCACTAAACTACTGGTCTCCGGCACCATTTTCTGTTTTCTGTTGCTTTGATGCAGGCTCTTCTTTGTCTGTTTCTTCTCTTGCTCTTTTCACTGTTCCTAAATAATTAAAAGAAATTTTTAATAAATTCAACTGCTTTGTTTTAATGCTGAGCACAATTATTAATAAAATATCCTAGCCTGTCTCCTACTTGTAAAACAGCACGACAGAGTTACACCATAATTCAAAAATGTCACTCATACAGAAGTTAAAAAACCACATCTCTGACAAGTAACTTCTCATAAAGTACACATTTCTCATGGAACTACCAAAGGACTTAGAAAAAACTTACCTGCTGCACCATTTTCATCACGGTCATCATCACTATCAAATTTCGTTTTTTTGCCCTGAAACTGTACTTTTCCTTTGGACCCAGGCTGGGCAGCTTTATTACCCTTTCCTTTTCCTTTAAATCTGCGACCTGTAGAGGCATAATTGAGAACTTGGTAAAGAAAATAATTTGAGTCTGTTGTGTTTTTGAACACTGACTAAAATAAGTAAAATAACCAAACTGTTAAAGGAAATATCAGAATAAATAACCTTTCGACTTCCATTTGTTTAGGGATTCCTGTTGGTCCTCTATGATTTTTTTCAAAGCTGTTTTTTCCACCTCTCCTTCGAGTACTTCCCAAGTCACTTCTTTGTTCCTTAACTGTAGGTTACCATTGTTTGCATCTTTGGCTTTCTCCAGTGCTTCCTTGGCTTTTTCTTTAAAGAGAATAATTCCCTAACCAAGTACAGAAAATAAAAATCACACCCTTAGTTTGTTGTCCCCTAATTAAATTTTTTTGTTCATACTAACTTTTTCCTACCCTGTAATTCCTCTATGCCATTACTAATTCAATGAATTTTACTGAACCAAAAGCTATTCAGGAAAAAATCAGACATAACATCACTGATAGGAATAACAAGACGAAAAATAAATCATTTAAGTATTTTAATCAACACAATTTAAAAATTGTTTTCTATTAACTTTATCTTCTATGGACTTTCAAACTGAGCACCAAAAAGTATTTGAATATTTCCAAACCTCTTTTGCTCCTCTGACAAAGTCTATCCATTTTATTTCACCGTGACTTGAAAAGAGGATGTGCAGATCTTCTCTACAGGTCTGATCATCTAAGTCACCTGAAAATTTCAGCAAACATCCAATCTTTTCTTCTAGAGATTTCTAAAGAAATACAAAAGGCAATCAAAAAAGTTTCTTACCCACCTATCAGAAATGGCTCAAACCATTCTATGCCTACAACAGAAACCAAAATGCTGTTTTAATGTAGTTTAAGTGTATTTTCCTTTGTTATTCTTTAAAATTGCTTCTGATTTTAATTTAATTTCTTCTATAAGTGACATTTAACTGCGAACTATATAAATCCGATTATTAAACTCAGGACAGTAATTTTAGGTAATATTATTTCTATATCACTTTAATGATAACCAAAACATATTTTCTTTAAAAAAGCCTCAGACATGGTGGGTAACTCAGTAGCAGAGCATGAGCTTAGATTGTGCAATGTCCTGTGTTAAATCCCCAGCACCACACACATTTACACCGTTTTCAAGACTTTTAAAAGTTATTCTAACTAGTAGATATATTAAATATCAGTACTATACACTTACCATTTCAGCATCTTCTGCTAACTTTTGTTTTTCTTCTTGCTCTCTACAAATAAACATGATTTAATTATAAATTTCCCACCCACTATAATAAGAAAATTAAAAATAAATAACCTAATCATGACCACTAAGCTACTTGATTACCAAAGCCGGTCCTTAGGTTTTCTGATTATCCAATGCTAGACTACAATGTAATATGGCCTCCAATATAATAAGACACTTAAACTGTGTTTCAAGCCTATTTTAAAGCTTTAAGTAATTCAGATATGTCATACTTCAACATACTTACTGTTTAGCTCTTAACTTAGCTTCCACTTTATTTTGCTTTCTTTCTTCATTTTTTTTTGCAAAGTAATCTTCCCTAAAGAACATAACACAAAGGCTAAGGTCATGAGAACAAAGGTAAGACTGCAAATTATTTTGAATGATTTAAGACATGGCACAGCAAGGAAGGTCACAAACATTTTCTATCAAGGTAATCATCTAAAAATTCAAAATACATATAGGAAGGTTTTATTTCTTTTAATAACAGCTTTACTATGATAAAATTTACCCTTTAAAAGTGTACCTTCAATGATTTAGTAGCATACTCAGAATTCTACAACCATCACTAATTTTAGACATTTCATGACTCCCAAAGAAACCCAATATCCCACACTCCTGTCTTGTGTTGGTTTTCACTTACCCCTTCATGAATATAAAAAAGATCAGAAGTCATGTAAATAATGTTTCACAGTTTTCTGTAGTGTTAATTTCACAAAAGGCGAAAAACCTAAAATCCCAGTACCCCAAAACAACACCCAGCAATTATGAAAATCATGTTAAAAATTTAATTTTGACTATGTAACACTGATAGTATGCTTTATCACAGTGGATCTCAGTCAATCAGGTTTAACACCAGCATTTAGAAGACTATATAATGCAAAAGTAAGGCACTATGGCCCTACAACTTTATCATGAAAATGCCCTGGTTCATTCTCATTTTAAAGACATGCGCACATACACAAGAACGTGATTCAAGTCTCTATCCTTTGTTCCTTATAAAAACATTTTTATACAAACTATTAAATATAAAACAGTGATTTACTCTTCACCCACACAAAAAGTCCAACTTTAGTATTCAGCCTGATTATAAATTTTAGATGCAAAGTAAGTACTAAAAGTTAACTTTCCTTATTAGTTTCTAATAATGAAAAGGTACTAATAAACACTGTCTTATACTCTGAAAGGACTAGTGTACTTCTTACTGAAAAAAATTTAGGTATTTTTCAAAGGATTCAAGAATACCAAATATTAACTGGGGACTTTAGTTATGATCCTTATCCGAGTTTGTCAAACAATTCTAAATAACTGAGAAGCCAGAAGAAAAAAGAATGAAATTACGTACTTAAAAAGTATTAACAGATCTGTGTCTTTGTACTTTTGTCCAGGGGTCTCTACAAACTTCTTAGCAGAGTCAATGCTATCAAACACAGCAAATATTGATCCCTAAAAAAAAAAAGGGGGGGGGAGATTTCTTTTAAAGTTATGCCCCATATATTTTACAACTAGAAGTCTTATCATCATACAATCATACCTTAAAAGCTTTGTGCAATGTTCTTCTCATTTGAATATTCAGCACTTGACCTTTATCTTCTAGCCATTCTTTTATGTCATCAAGGGTTGCATCAGTTGGGAAGCCTTTCTGTGAAAAGTGAACAATTCCCCCAAAATTCTGATTGGTAATGAAGCAAGGATACACATTATCTCTTTCTCTTCCTGTCTCAATCAAATGAGCCTTACTCAGTGCAATGAAAGTGATTCACCTGATATAGGTTTTAAGTTTGCACAGAGGGAAAAAAACAACCATTATTCATGTGTTAAGTACTGCTAAATTTCAATAATGGTACATTATACTTTATACTGTTCAAGCTACTTCTGTAAATTTCTGAAAATTTACAGAATAAAGTATTTAAAATCAACATACTAAAGAAAATTGCTGTAGATTTTAGGTGTTGACAAGTAAGAATAGTTGATGATATGCACTGGGTACTTAGAATATGTCAAAGATTTTATCGAATGTGTCAGTTTTTTTTTATTTAACTCAATATTTCAATTAGGTAGAAAATATTATCCATATTTATGAAAATAAGGTGTAGAGAGAGGTTAAGAACACTGCCAAAGGACATACAGAAAGTGAGGCAACTGAATCTTGAGCCCTTATCCACACCACTATTTTCTTCCTAAATAAATGTATTATATTAAATGCATTAAGACCCACTTACAATATAAACAGATCTGTTTTTTACATCATTTTTATACTCATCGGTTACTTCTGGGAGGGGTTTGCTTGGAGATCTTCTGATTTTAGTTTTGTCTTCACTGATTTCCATAAGTTCTGCCTTAGATTTGCTCAAAGCTTCCACTATTACATTAAAATCTGTTGTTAGGCGGTTTAACCTGAAGAATATATATATAACAACGTTAAGATTTAGTAGAAGCACTCATTACTAACAGAGAACCTAGATGACTTTTAAAAGGCATTAGGGCTGAGGGAATAGCTCAGTGATAGAGGGCTTGCCTAGCATGTAGGAGGCTCTAGGTTCAATCTCCAAAATGCAAACAAACCAAAAAGGGTTTTTTTACCTGTTGAATTTTATCATTATTTCCAAAGGTACCCAGCCTTCATCCAATTTGATCTGTTCCTTTAAAAATTTGTCTCGTGGCAAATTGAAGTCTCCAAAATAATACTGTAAGATAATCATAATACATTTTAGATTTTGGAGCACTGTATAATACTTAATCCAACCCTGGAATCTTTTTTTTTAACTACCATTATACTACCAACTTTCATTCTTTAAAAATGCATGTCATAACTTAAAAGAGGAAACAACCATTCTTCCTAAATTTACAATAATGAAATGTTTATAATACAAATTAATAAAAAGAAAATTAAAGTATCAATTATTGGCTGGGGTTGTGGCTCAGTGGCAGAGTGCCTGCTTTGCATATGTGAGGCACTGGGTTCGATCCTCAGCACCACATAAAAATAAATAAAGGTATTATGTACACCTACAACTAAAAAATATATATATATATATATATATATATATTTTATAAAAAAGGTGGGGCACCCCTGGGTTTAATCCCTGGTACCAAACGAAACAAAAAAAATACCCAGTTATGGCTATTTGGAATGTCAAAAGTAGCATGAGAGAAAAAGTAGTTTAAGGTTCTTATAAACTAAGGGGAATGGTGGGGAAAAAAGTGAACAGTTATAGAGAAATAACAACATTAGAAAAATAACAAAAAGTGGGCTGGGGTTGTAGTTCAGTGGAAGAATGCTTGCCTAGCATGTGTGAGGCACTGGAT